CTCCAATTTTTTTAGAAAATTATAAATCTATATATATTGTTACATAAAAATATTTTTAGGGTGAAGGAAAAATCTATGTTTCCTTAAATTTACGCCAATGAATAGATTACAAGTATTCTCGGTTAATTCAAATAAAATTTTTAAATATCAAAAAAAATATTTCAAAGGTTTTTTAAAGAATTCTAATGTTTGTTATANTTCAAAGGTTTTTTAAAGAATTCTAATGTTTGTTATATATTGTTTATGATATTAATGAGTTAGTAAGCCCCTATAATAACTAACACGTTTTACCTTTTATACTAAAATTGCTCTTGCATTGGGATGTGGCTGCAAACGTTTGCCTATTTTGTTGAAATAATATTTATTATTTTTGTTTAGTAATTTAAAATATAACATTATGATAAAATTTATTTAATAGTTGCACTAATAATAAATATTTCTTATTTAAATATACTAAATGAATAAACCTCTTTGTGTATTTAAAATTAAATTAACTAACCAATAGATAAACTTGACCATTAAGATCAAGGTCAATGCAAAATACATTTTTTAAACTATGCAGTTTTAGCATTGCAATACAATATTACTCAATTAAAAAACAAAAAATAATTTTTTGCGTATAAATAAAACTTACCACTAATCTCTTGAATAGGTAGTTCATTATGTTGATCGCATTCGGCTTCTGATATTTGATTACTGTCTTTGGAATCATTGGCCTCATTACTAGTATTACTAACATTTGGATCATGGTTTCGAGGAGGAGGTAGAGGTGGTTCTAGACTTCCTACAGAATAATATAAAAATTTTGTTAAAGTTTAAAATATAGTAAGCAAAAACGTAATTTTATTTTCCGCTAAAATATATAACATTATTTTGATTAAAAATAATGGACAATTATAATTTTTGTAAAAAATTACTATGTAAAATATAACATTCAAACAGTGAACAAAAAATTAAGTCTATTTTTTTAATATTTCCTAGGTGTACGTGTAAGAAGCTTCTAATCCAAAATTAAAGTAATTATGCACATCTTAGTTACAAGTTATTAAAAAAGAAAAGGACTTTAAAAAAAAAGTAAATAAACTATAATACTTTTTACGAAAATAAAATATGATTTAAAAATTCATCACATCAAAGTTAACGATTCAGTACAGTTGTTTAACTAAACAACTATGGATAATAGGTAACAAAGAGAAAAAAATACTTTGAATTATCAACTCAATAAATTAATCGCTAATAAAATAATAACATTATAATGATCAAAATTCTTGACTAAAAAAATTTTCCTTAGATAATTAAAATCAAAATTGAATCACGTCATGAACAACATTAAGTATACCTTTGAAAAATAACATAGATTTGTTCCTATTATTATTTTTTAAATATATCCTTTTAAAATCTTTAATTTAAATTGAAAATTATTCTGAAAACACTACGATTATCGCATTTAAAATTAGTTAACAAAAGAAGAATTATCATAGAACAGCAAAAGTATTTTATGATGATTAAATAACTGGTCAAAATTTATTTTAACTTACCAACACTCTGATGACTAATTGAATTGCGGCCGTCATATTGGTCATATGGAGCACCATATTGACCATATTGACTTCCGTATTCATCACCTATATTTGCTGGATCATCGTATTCAGGTGAAAACATTGAACTAGCTGCTCCACCAACGTGTGAATAACGCCCGTTTCGTGGCTAAAGAAATAATTTTAAATATAATGATTAATTCGTCAACATTTGTTTGAGAATGCTCGAGATTTTTATTGAATGTGCCTTTTATTGATGTAATTAAAAATTATACTCAAATATAAAAATAAAACTTAAAAAATATATTATAACGATGTTTTTACATCTATAAAATAAAAATTTAATTTAAACACATTGTTTAGTATAGATACCAATCAAATATCGTTTTTCTATAATTGTATAATTTTAAAAGTGTTTAATGCAAAACCTGTTAAGTGAATGGTACTTAACGGTTTTCTGTGTTAAACTGCAAGAAATTTTATTCAACTGTATGGATAGCTATGCTACACAATGGCGTATTTAGAAGAACTCTCAGGTTAAAAACCCCTAGAACTTGAAATATATCTAAATTTGCATTGTTTGTTTTATACTAACAAATTGTGTAAAAAAATAAATCAAAGTATCATTATTCCAAGTACTACTAAAGATATATAAAATATCTAATTAAAAGGTGAAAATTAAATAGTTAAAACGTTAGAGTTAAGTTAAAAGTAAATTTGTTTTAATTTTTTAACTTAATTAGTTTAGTTTATCGTTGAAGAAACTTAGATCAGATCATATTGTTAGATAATTATTATCAAGCTAAGATTAATGTCATAGTAATTTTTGGTTGTTTACGCGATTTTTAATCCAATAAGTTATAAAATTTATTTTCTTGATTTTTAACTATTATTACTAATTGTAAGAATATACATCAAGAGAGCGTATCTCAAAATTTGACAAATTAAGATTATTATTAATAATGATAAAATAACTGTTTTTAGATATATTTTTTTGAAGACTTGTAGTTTAATTGTTATGAAAATAAAATTACCCCTTGAAGGTATTAAAATATTTATAAATCAAATTTATTTGTTGATTATCCTAAAAATCTATAAAAACCAAGATTCGTTCTGTTGCAGTATAAACTAAAATATTATTATGTGATGAAAATAATTATTATCATAGCTGCTCACCTGCTCTCAGATTTGAGGGAATATTCTAAAAATAGCTCTGATAGCTTAAATAAGGTGTTGTGTATATATATTAATATGAATACATTAAATTATGATGAAAGATGTGTTACAAACGTTTATCATTGGTGAATGAAGCTAGACTAAACTAACTCCTGCTACATTAATATATTTATTTAACAATAAATATAAATCTTTGAATTTTTTGACGGAGGAGTGAAGAAATATTTGAACTTATTCAGTTAAGTTTCTATAGTTGCATTAGTGTTGCTCAAATATTAAGAAATCAGAATAGCACTTTATGTAAAATCAAAATGATTTAAAAAGTAACTATACTTTTTTAACTTTTTATGTTAAAAATATTTTTTGGTTTAATTTTTAACTTAGTATGTTAAATTTATAATTTATTAACATTAAACATATCGGCATTGTCCCTGTTTACTTGAGTACTTGTGTTTACTTTTACTTGAGTTAATTATGTATTTACTTTTATTAAATTGTCTATCTTTAATTTAATTTAGACAGTTTTTTTAGTTTTTTCAAATTCGGAAATTTTGTATTTAACGAATTTTTGAAATAATAGATCCAATTAATGTTACCATGGTTTGAGTCCCTGGACATTGGTGCATCATTCCATTGCTAACCATAGTTCCGCCGGGTCCCATTGTTCCACAATGACCATTTTGATGTGGGAACGTCTGGAAAGGCATTTTAGAAGGATCCATTTCTTCACGGAATCCGAGCAAATGGAATGTTGCATATGGGCAAATATCCTCACCATCTACTCCTGTTATTATGCGAAAATGATTAAAATACAATATCATACTACATATAATTTCAGTTGAGCCCCAGGCATTTTGCGACAGATAAAGAAGGTTTGAATTTAATATAAGAAAAAATTCAATTAATTTTTTAAATAGTACAAAGACTCATAAAATATTAAAATATAAGCTCAATCATTATATATTATTTAAATAACTTATTAGTCATAAAATTTTAACGTAAAAACTTAAATAAATAAAGATAAATTAAGTTAATTAAAAAAAAATAAATTTGTTTAATCAATGAATGCTTAAATTATTTAATGGCAGTAAAGAATTTTTTGTATATAATTTATGTCTAATAGCTTTACTTTTAAAATTTAATAGAATATTCTAATGTAAGGATGGATAGAATTCAGAGGAAGTACAGATTACTCTAGCATATGTATAAAGGTCTATGCATATTTTGATTATTTCCAAAGATGAAAAAACTATCGTTGTAAAAAATCATTTTTAAGTAAAAAAAAAAAACATAAAATATGCACATTAAATTTGTAAATTTTTTTAACAAAATTTGTTAAAAAAAAATAAGTAGTTAATACATTGAAATTTTTTTTAGAAACAAATTACTGTACTGCTACTCTGTAAATTTTTGAATGGTTTTAGGATTAATCAGTAAAACCCAGTTGAAACAAATTTTGAATAAAAATTACAAAAATTAAAAACAAATTTTTCGAGTTTTTTTTCAATAAAGTTGTCTTGTTTATCATTTTTCCAAATAAGATCATAAATAAGTAGTAATAAGTATATTTTATCATATTATTTTATGCATAGGTTAATTTTAATAGAAAATTTGTGTAGATTTTAAATAAGGAAATTTTTTTACTAAGACAATATAACTCGACAAAATTTGAGTCATGGAATAAAATGAAATATTTTTTATCGTCTCAGATCCTCTTTTTTAATGATGATTTCAAATGTGCCCATAAATTTGCTCTCCCATCAATATTTTAGCTACAATTGAAGTATATGTAAAATTACGGATTTTTCACGTATAATGTCATTACTTATTAATTATATGTATAGAATCATGATGATAATTTATGCAATTTTGTTGTACTGTGTAATTTATCAAGAACAATGAATGATATTTAATTTCTAATGTACATTCAGCAAATATAAATTTTCAATGTCATCCTACTACTATTATACTTGTAGATATATTCATTAATAGGATGTTCAATAAAATAAATTATAATCAAAAATAAAATAAAATAAAACATAAAAAATAACATAAAATAAGATTTATATTGTGATATATTAGATTACTAGATGATTAATTTTTTTAATTTTTTTATTAATTGTAAAAATTTAGTTAAGTTAAAGAAATTTGTATAATTGAAACTTCTTATTTAAATCTTAAAAAAATAAAAATTATCTACTTAAATAACACATTATTACATTTTTAAATACATTAACACCCGAACCTCCAAAGACTACAATATGACATACTAACTAAAAAACAATCATTTTATTTTTTTTATTGATAATAGAATAATCAAATTAATTAATACCTTTTTATGTGTATATTTAATATTATTAAAACTAATTATATTAGAAAAAAATTATCTATAATGCATTTAATTCATTTTTTACAATAGTTCATTATTGAGTATTTAATTATAGTTAATCAATTTAAAAGACTCTTGGGATATTTACCAATAACTGAAATAATGTATTAAATAAATCCATTTTATAAGATTTATGACAATTTTTGAAGCTATTCATTACATATTAATATAAAATATACTGATATTCAGTAGACTTAAATGTCATTTAGTTCTAAATGAAATACTCATTGTTATGGGTATACATTTTTAAGTTTAAGCATAAAATATAGTTATCTTCAAAAATTACTGGTAAAGCTTGTTAATATATATATATATCATTAAGCACACTTTTATTAATTAAATTCGCAAACTGCTGATATTAGTTAAAATAAGCCACCGTGCATCTTTTGTTAATCCTTTGATCATCATTTTACCTCTACACCGGGTGTACATTGTTTCGTCAGAACCTGGACAAGGGGGTAAATGTCCTCTACACCTAGGACTATTATCGTTAAGTTCTTCATACATATGACGCGCTCTAGGGTTCCATGTACCATGACCATTGTAAGGACCGGGAAAACCTGATTTATAAATATGATGAAAACAAAAATAAAAAGTTAATGCTAAATAAAAATAGTATAAAATCAATCTTCAAAATTGAAATAAAAAGCAAACATAAATTGAAAATAATATTCCCTCTAATATTTTTAGAGCTATAGATGTTCTGTTATAACAGAGTAGTAGTTCATACCTCTTTTTATTCTATCACAAGTGTTATAATTTGATCCAGGAACAGGTGGAAGTTTTCGGTTGGGAGGTGCAATGTAACCCAGTTCGTCGTTAAAATCTGCATGTCTCTTATCAAGTGTATTACCACCCATAAGCATAGATTGATTGTATACAGTCATATCATCTAATAAAATGTAATTATTAATTTCTGATTTTTTTAAGAATTACTAAATTAAAGTGTAAAAATGTTTATGTCAAAACTTGTTATTTGATGGCAACTATTAAATACCTCGTAATCTTGTTTGTCCATTTTCATGAACTCTACGAGACCAAGCAACACAAACTACAATTATACCAACAATAATAACAATAATTGTAGCAGTAGTAGGAACTACTACGTTCAAATCAATCCATTTAGGTATCCATGGAAAATATGTATAAATAGATGTCACATCTTGAACATGGGGAGCAATAGTACCTTAAACAAAATAATAACTAACCTTTTATTTCATCTCCTTTTTTCTTCAAATAACAAAGGAAAATTATAGCCACAATTATGACTAACAAAGCTGATGTTACAGGTACAACTAGGTTAAGGTTGGCTAATATAATACGGATAGCTGTTTCAGTAGCTGAACCAAAACCATTATGATGAACCTCTCTGGCAGGAGCTATAGTACCTGGAACAAGGAAGTATTTTTAAATTAGAAATGATTACTTTAAGAAAAAATTTGTTCCAAGTACTACACCAACTGCCTTAATTTCATAGTTTTTTTTTTTAGTTTTAGCAGATCATTTGAATTAACTTACTTCCACTTAGTGTGAGTGAAGCAAATTCGTATTCAGCTACAGAAAAACCAGCATTGTTGTGAGCTGTTACTCTCAAGTGATACCAAGTAGCTGGGTCTAAATCAAGTACTACAAAATTACCACCAGGTCTTACATTATTAGATACTTGAGTCCATTCTGGTTGCATTCTAAAATTACGTAAATATTGAGTTTAATGATTTATTTCTAATTACTTAACTAAAAAATTAAATGTTCTCATTATACAGTGATAATATTAATGTTATTACTTTTTTTTATGTTCCACTACAAAATATAACATTGGACAACCACCATCTAGCCAAGCATTTAGATGGAGAGTTACACTGGTAGCAGATACTTCTATAAATTTGCTTGCTTCAGGTATTTTTGGTTTTGAACCCGTTGTTTTTGTAATTAGTATATCTGACTCATCGCCTGTACCAATTCTATACCAATATAAAAACAATCTTGTAGTTACACATATAATCTTTAATAAAATATAATAAAATAATATCTTACAAATTGTAAGCTGTTACAGCTATTTGATAACGTGATCCACACCACAAGTTTTCTAGAGTGAATTTTTCAGCTTTAGCGGCTACTTGAGCTGTTTGCCAGTCTCCAAATTCAGGCTTATATTTAATTGTATAACCATGAACTGGTTCTTTATCATCAGCAAAAGGTTTTAACATTAATGTGATTGTGTTAGAAGTAGTCTCACCAACTGATACTTGTGGTTTATGCGGAGGAGCTAATAAGTACAAAAAAAATTAATACTTTATGTAACAATAATAGTCAGCCAATTCCCACTGAAGTCAAAAACTTGTATATTAAAATATTATCAAATTATTTACCTAATACCATAATATTATGAGTAATTTTATCTTTTCCAAAAGAGTTTTCAACAAAACATGAGTATTCTCCTGCATCTTGTCTTGTAACTGACCTTATTAGTAGCGAACCTTCTGGTAATTGACGAATACGATCATTATTTTCAAGTGGAGTACCTTTTATTTTCCATGTAATTTCTGGAGCTGGCACACCCACAGTCAAGCAAGGAAGTTTAACATCTTCACGGTAAGTAGCAGTGAATATATCATCAAATGAAGCAATCATTGCGGGAACTAAAAAAAACATATTAAGTATTAAAAATAAAAACAAATACTTTGATTAATTACCTCGAGTATTGGGGGCAATGATAAGTGGTTTGGTTGGCTGTCCTTCGCCAATATTAGTTGATGCAGTAACCCAAAATTCATAAGGTTCTTGCTTGGTTAATCCAGATGCTTCAAAACTCATTTGGCTTGCTGCAACTTTATGAACCAAATTTGCTTCTTTCTATACAACACACATACATATAATTTTATCTAAACAAAATATTTCTTTTAATGATGAAGTAATTTCAAAACTAGTAGTTACCAACTAATTTTTAACACTAAGTCCGACTCTAATTTAATAATTTTCCAATTTTAATTATATTTTATTTATATTATACAAATAGTACCTAATTTAAATATTAACAAGTTTATTCTTTAAATATTTTAGCAATTTTCAAGTTTTTTATGTAAGAATTAAACTATGAAAAAAATTAACTTGATATTCTGAATTCATATCTAATAAAATAATTTATACTCAAACCTTATATTAAAATGATTAAGTTTGACTCAAAATGAAGACATTTAGTTTTAAATTCTTTCTAGCCAAGTTTACAGAATCAAACTTTGCAAGTTCAATACTGTTACCTAATTAGTTGTTTGAAAGATAAAAAAGGATTAAAACTATTTTATAAAATTCTANAGGATTAAAACTATTTTATAAAGTTCTTATTATAATTTAAATTAAACTATCGACTTTACATCTTTATTTTCACCAGTCGACCTAATATAAACTGTGTACTGGTTTATTTCCCCATTTGGTTCAGCGGGTGGTTTCCAACTCACTAACACAGATTCTGTTGACATCACTAATGCTTTAATTGCTGATGGAGCTTCTGGAACTAATTAAATTAAAAAAAAATGAAAATAACTACTGAAAAAAGTTTTCATTATAGTTAAATAATTTATGAGTTAGTACCATCTTGTTCCGTTTGACAGTAAATTTTAGGGGTACGAACTCCATCTCCCCCAGCTGTAAAAGCTAAAACTTCCATACTATAATTTGTAAATTTCTTTAAGCCATGTAAAATAGTTTCTTTAGATACAGTTATCTTTGTATCTTTTGTGCTTTCATCTAAAATTAAAAAGAAATTGTGAAAAAATTAGTAAAAAAAAAAATAAGTTTAAACTTACTGAACCATGAATCACTTGGTCCATAAATAACTTTGTATCCTTTTATATCACCATTGGCTGTATTTGGTGGAGGAGAAGCCCAAGAAATTTTTATAGTTTGTGATGTCAGAGTTGTACAAGTTGTATCATGTGGTGCTTGTTCAGGTACACCTTCAGATGTGAATTGTTTTATTTCATCCGACATAGGACCTGCGCCTAACTTGTTAAATGCTTGAACAACAATAGTATACTGTGTATATGTCCTAGGTAAAATTTTAACATTTATTTTATTACATTAACTTAAAAAAATAAAAATATAATGAATATATTTTTTATGAAATTTATTATAGATATTTAGCATACATAATAAACAAATTTGATATATATATATGATAAAGATTCATCATATATATTTATACTAATAAAATTGTTTAAAGTACTGAATTCACTGGTATTATTTGTTTGAAAAAGCATTTCTCTATTATTATATACTTTTGTGATTGCCTGATTATTATTTAATTTTTATAAAATTTTACACCATTAAAATAAAATTAATATTTTGTATAACCACTGTTCATACAATATCAAATATTATGTCAATATAAAATCTATTAGTTTGATTTACAAACATATTTCAGGATAAAATAAATTCAACTTATAATTTATTTATATTTAATCTGAGTATTACATCATATTACTTGAAGTGCTTGAGGATATATCCATGTTTGCAGTTGAGTTCTGACGTTTTGGACTCAACTGCAAACATGGATATATCCTCAAGTACTTCAAGCAACAAGACAATCCATGAAAGCTTTAACACATTCATTCATCATATTAATTAAGCTTTTCACATTTTCTGCAGGTATTTTGTATTATTAAAAAAAATTGTTATAAAAATAATTACTAATTCATACTTTAAATTAACTATTTCAAGGTAATGTTCTTTTCCTTCTTCTTTGCTGAATTCTACAGTCTCAAAAACAAACTTATTTTCTGGTAATGATGATTGTTTGTAACCTACATAATATCCTTGAATTTCTCCATTCCATTCATCTCGTTCTGGAGCTTTCCATATAACTTTTAATGTATTTTCATCAACTGCCTCTACACGTATATTTGAAGGTTTTCCACTTGGAGCTAATTTTAATAAAATTTATTTGTATTATAAATTAAAAAATAAAAAACAAATAATTATTATCTACCTTCTTCTGATGTAATTATAGTTATTGGATCAGATGGTTTTGACACTCCAACTCCATTTTCAGCAACAATTCTGAAGTGATAAGTTTTTGCTGGATGAAGGTTTAAAACACTCATTTCTGTTTTATCACCAGTAGTATCCATTTTTTCAACATTAGATTCCCATGTACCTAATAAGATTAAAAATTAAAATGTAACACAAAATTTATTTTTTCTAACTTTAGTATTTTTCACAACATTCACTAATACTCCAAAAGACCTGAATTATAACACAAATTATATAATATTACATCACTTTGGGTACTAAAAATTGTTATTTTCTATTTAAACACTAGAAAAAATAAAAACAATACAAAGTTAAAGAAAAATTTCTATCTTTATGTATAATGATCACCACCAATAAGCCTATAAAACTCATTTAACTAAATTATTCAAATTTAATAGTAATTTTAATAATTAAAATATTAAACATTGAAAGAAAAATCGCCAATTTTTTATTTTAAGTAAATTATTGAATATAGAAATATATACTGATTACAAAAATTGTTACAATAATTAAAATATGCATTAAAAAATTTACAATTACAATATTAAAAATAGTTATTAAATAATAAATGTTATTTAAAATTAAATAAATAAATGTTTAGCATGGATGATAAAAACATTAGTTTTCAAAATAATGCGTATCCCTTGATTTTATTCAACTGATTTTTTGGTGTTGATTTAATTAATTTTTTTTTTTTAATTAATAAGTTCTCAATTATACTTTTTTTAGATTTAACTTTATTATTATTTTTTTATAATTAAAATATTATTACCTATTAAAAGTAAAAGTTACACATGGTTGTTTTTTTTTTTTTAATTTAATAAGAAGTTTTTATTAGAGCTAAAAATATTTACAGTTATGTAAATGATTTTATAATAATTGAAAAAGTTAAATATGTACATGACTATGAAACAATGAGTGCAATGTTTACCTAACAGCCCCTTTAACAAAAAAAAAATATATATTCTTAAAATGTTATTATAAATAATATTTTTCAAAAAAAATTAAGTTTTCATAATAATTTCAGGAAAGGGGTCATGCCTCTCATTAATACGCTACTAGAAGAGAATAAGATTAAATATTTAAAAAGACAATACCTTTTATCAATTTGTATTCAATTATGTAGCGAGTTATCTGGGAGTTTCCATCATATGGAGCTAACCATGAAAGTTGCACTGTACGGCCAGACTTATCTAATACTTTAAGTCCAAATGGTACTTCAGGTACCTCTAAACATTTTTATTAAAATTAATATTTTAAATGAAAAATAATTTATAATATAAGTAAACCTTGAACAATAAGCTGTACACTAGAATCATCACTTCCAAAAGAATTTGTTGCAATACATGTAAATACAGCAGTATCAATCCTATCTGTAATTTTAATACTCAAATCAGATTTGACACCATCGACCATTATTTCTTCTCTAATTGTATATCTTTATTTAACAAAATATAATGATTTAATAAAGAATTATAACTAGCTATATAAATCAACTGAATAAATAGATACCTATTTTCCTCTTTAGTATCCAATCTTTTGTTGTTCATGTTCCATACAATACCAATTGGTTTTTCTCCTTTCGCCATACATTCTAAAACAGCTGATTGACCCTTTACAGAAGTTTGATTTCTTGCCTTGATTTCAAAATGAGGAGGGGCTAAAATAAAATAAAAATAAATTATACAAGAAATATTAAATTTTATTAATTATTAACCTTGTACGCCTATTGTAATTACAGCTGAAAGTCCAGATCCAATACCATTAACAGCCTCACATAAATAATATCCTTCGTGATTTTTCTGAATATTGTGAATTGTAAGTGTTCCCTCTTCAACTCTAATATCATCATTCCCTAACTTCAAATCTTTTATATCTTTGTAGTCTCCAGGAGAATTACCTAGATATACAATATACTTTTTATTGTATATTAGTGACATGAAGTTATATCATTTATCAAACCTATAGCTTTTTTCCATGTAACTTGAGGTTTAGGAAAACCATCAGCTTTACATTCAATTTTAGCATCTCCCCCTTGAGCAAATGCCTTATCAGTTGGTTCAAGAATCCATCTAGGCGGAACTATTAAATAATAATATCAATTAAAATTTTGGAAACAAATTTTCCTATCTGACAATATGATAATGTGCTAGAGTTCAAGATGAGTAAAAAAGTTAAGTGAATAATATCATACATTTCGAGTAATGAAAAAATGAATTAAAAATCTTAATGAACTCTTGCCATTATTTAACAACAGAGAAACATAGAACCAAAACCCCAAAATTTCTTTTAAGGTATAAGTCTTTCAATAAAAAAAAACTAAGTTTTTTTAAATAATATTGTGAAGATACATTTTATTATTATCATATTTTTTTTAATGAACTTAATATAGTTTTGGATCTATGTTTCTTACTCAAATACTAACTACGTAAGTAGAGCGAACTTTTAAGAAAAATTCTAAAATATAGATTAATTGTATACTTAAATATTTGTTAAATTTATACTTAACTTCTTTACATGAAGTATAAACTTAAGTATTAAAGCGATTTTATAGGGGTATGAGGGAGAGTGTCACCCTACTCAAACTTTTATTTTAAGTCATTAGTAATCGAAATTTTTATAATATACTTATTATATATAATATTATACATAATGTACTTTATAATGTATACTTTGTATTTTTCTTAAGCAAATATATCTCCAATAGTTAATAAAATTCACATCACACCTCCCTAAAAATTAACTGTAAAATCGCCCTTGATGATATATAATATAATATTTAATGTATAATGTATAATGTTTGAAATAGATTAATTTATTCGCTCTACTCAGAGAAAGAATCAAACAATAGCATGTCCTTAAGTGATTTAATACATAAAAACTTTGAAGTTATTTATATTAAATTATAATTATTAAATCACCGTTAAGACGTAAATTAGTATTCTAACTAAAAAAGCATATAAAAATAGTGCATTTAGAAAAAAAAACTATTTGCTAATCAACATGCATTGATGTAGTGTTCGAATCTTTAAATGTATACATAAATTTGTTTTCTGAATTTGAAGTTAAATTTCAGTAACTAATTACTATAGAAAGATCTTCTTTTTGTAGGCATTGGGTTATAACAGTTTATGGTTATCACTTCTCATAACTAAATTACTGATTACGAACAAATTTAATGAAATATTAGTATTTATTTCGTATTCTTAGAGGAAATTAAATATTAGAACTTTACTTGTAATTGCATAAAAATTCGAACACCACAATTTTATCATTTTTGTTATTAAAAATATAAAAATTATCTCAATTTTAGTAAGGCATTAAAATGTGCATGTAAACGTTCAAGCATTAAAAATTAAAGCAACAAAAAGGAATTTAAGGATAGGATGAATAATGGAATAAATAAAGAAAAATTCCTAACCTATTTAGAGAAATAATAACAAAATATATCGACGTATAATAAAATTATATTATTTTAGATGTATTTTAAAATTCATTATAACTGTATTTTATTTTCAATTAGTTGCAGTAAAAACAAAAAACAATATTGAATATTAGTAGGTACATTATACTTCAAAGGATTTAAGAATATAGCTAATTTGGCTTCATTTTAAAAAGTATAAGTTTACAAATATAACTTCCAGTATCATCCAATGACATTATTTAAATATTTTTTGATGCAGTTCATTTATCTCATATTTTTTTATAGTGTTTATCAACTACTTTGTCAATAATATACGTAATGCATTATTAAAAATCTTAACTAGTTCGAACAAAAATGTTAGTTGAAATACTATTATTTATCCTACACTTATCGTTAGTAAANTATCCTATACTTATCGTTAGTAAACGGCTCAACTTTTATTGTAATGATAATTAAAATATTCTATGTAACACTTTGGAAGACAATTTTTCTAAACTTTAGGGCGCAGTATACAAAAAAAAAAACCCAGCACAGGGGGGTCGCGGCACAGTGGTGACGTGGCATAGTTGGATCAAGTATAATGATATCTGACAGTGATTAAAATCACTATCAAAAAAAAACGCTTCGATGCAAATCTTTAGATAGTGTTTAATTTTAAAAAATTGGTGGATTATTCCAAAAGCTTCATAAACTGCTAGTTCCTTATTAATATCCTGATTAAGATAAAGTATGTCGAATGAAAAAGGGATTATTAAAAAATAGTATTTCCCATAAAAAAATTATATTGATCAATACACTTTTCAATAAGTTATAGCATTATAAAGTTAAAAATGTAAAAAATAAAATTAAGATTTTTCACACAATAATAGCATTTGGTAGCCATTTTCACCGTGAAGACTAAATAAAGTCCGAAATTTTTTTTTTACATAATAAAGTATATTACATTAGCTTTAATTTAATATATATAGAAATGTGTCAGACTTTCCGGAACACTTTCAAAATTTAAGTTGAAAAAGTCAATTTTTTGTGAAAAAGTTGTCATTTTGAATCCCCCCCTGTAGGCAGGTAAAAAGTCAGATTTATAAAAAAAATATACCAAATGATAGGTAAAGACATCATGCATCTACAAAAAAAAGAATTATATTGATCCATACATCTTTCGAGAAGTTATAGCATTATAAAGTTAAAAATATAAAAAAGAATTTTTTTACAAAAATCGTATTTTTTTTATTAAGTTTAATGTCTGTTTTCACCATGAAGATAAAATAAAGTCCGAAATTTTTTTTTACCATTATAAAGTATATTACATTAGCTTTAATTTAAGATATATATAAAAGTGTCAGACCTTCCGGAACACTTTCAAAAGTTTAGTTGAAAAAGTTCTACTTTCTATATGCATTTTTTAGATTGAAACCCCCCTCGTATATAGGAAAATGATCCGATTTAAAAATACAGTATGTCGAATGAAAGATCTATATAAATACTACTTCTCATAAAAAAATTGTAATGATTCATACATTTTTCAAAAAGTTATAGCATAATAAAGTTAAAAATGGAAAATACAAAATCGAAAATTTTCACACAAAAATAGCATTCGGTAGCCATTTTCACCATGAAGATAAGATAAAGTCCGAAATTTTTTTTTTTCATGATAAAGCATATTACATTAGCTTTAATTTAAGATATATATAAAAGTGTCAGACCTTCCGGAACATTTTCAAAATTTAAGTTAAAAAAATTAATTTTTTGTGAAAAAGTTGTCATTTTAAATCCCCCCTTGTGGGCAGGTTAAGGGTTAAATTTATGAAAAAAATATACCAAATGAAAGGTAATGATATTATGCATCTATATAAAAAAGAATTATATTGATATGTTTATTTTTGAAAAAGTTATGGCACTTTTAAGTAAAAAAAATTGAAAAAATTTCGAAAATTAGCGATTTTTAAATTTGTAATTTTTTTGGAGGTTTCCCCCTTTTACGGGGAACGAGGGAATTTTTTTCAATTTTTAAGGGTAATGTCTTCGACTAGATACGATTTGTGATCTTTTGACGTATCATTGAAAGAAATCGGTTCGGTGAGAGCTGAGAAAAAGTGGTAACAGACACAAAAAAAAAAAACACATCTTAGTAAAACCAATACCTTCTCAGCTTCGCATCGAAGCTAAAATTTTAGCCTGAAATAAAATGTGTAAAATATGTGTTCAGTGTCTTAAACTGAGATTGTGTAAAGCGATTACTCCAAAATTATGTCAAAAATTGTTCTTAAATTATAACTTTTTTTTTTTAATATAAATTTTAAAATTAATGAAGGAAAAAAAAAATAAAAATAAAAATCTAAAAGCAGACAAACGTTTGTATAAACAATTCCCTGAGGTAATTGTTTTACCGTGGACGTGCAATGTAGCAGTATAATTAGCTCGTCCGGCTCGATTACTGGCAATGCATGTATAGTTTCCAGCATGATTGGAAGATGCTGCTTCAATATAGAGCATTGAAACCTTGCTTCCCATTTTATTTATAGAAATTCCACCACGAAGTGGTAATGTTTCAGCATCATGATAAGTCCAAAACAAGTTAAGAGGTAAATCACCTTCAGAAACTAAACACGTTATTTGTGCAGATTGCCCATCATAAATAGGATCACTAAAGCTGAATGGCTCGATTCGGGGAATGACTGAAACAATAATATAATATCTATTCGAAAAGTCCTAATATCCCCAAATTATTTCGATAGATTTCTTGGAATAAGTATTTAAGGAAATGGATTAATTAATATTGCAATAGTTTTACGATTCTCTTAAAATTTAAAAGCACTTGAAAAGCCAATGTTTACATGACACATGTGATGGTTTACCATGGACATTTAATGATGCTGTATACTTTGACCTCCCTGCTCTATTTTCAACCAAACATACATAGTGTCCAGCAAAAAAAAACGATGCAGTTTCAATAAATAACACGGATAGTTTATTTCCCATCTTATTAATTGATATTCCATTAGGCAGTGGCGATAAGGGTAATTTATCTGATTCATGAAACCACCAAGAAATATTTAAAGGAGTATCACCTTCTGATACTAAACATGAAATTTGAGCTGATTGACCAGAAAATATAGGTTCATCAAAACTGAATGGCACAATACGAGGAGGAACTAAAAATTGTCGAAAATGATCAATAAGATAAACTTTTAATTGAAAATTATATTAAAGTATCCAATGTTTATTTTTTCAAGATGTCTAAGTTAATGAAATTTTAATAATTTACACACAATAGTAATAAACGAANACTAAAAATTGTCGAAAATGATCAATAAGATAAACTTTTAATTGAAAATTATATTAAAGTATCCAATGGTTATTTTTTCAAGATGTCTAAGTTAATGAAATTTTAACAATTTACACACAATAGTAATAAACGAATGAAATTTTTTTTAACTATTTCATAATATTATCAAAATTTAATATGAATATTCATATTAGATATTAAGTTGAACATATATTTTTCTTGTGAAATGTCTGTGCAATATGCATTTAATTAACATGAGATTATTTAAATTTACTATATAAGCTTTTACGTTAAGTATAATCATAAAATAATCAAACTAAATATCCTTAAATATATATATATATAGTAAAGACTTTACACTGATTTTGAAGTCTATTGTTAGTTTACAATAAATCATTTTGTTGTTATGTACCTAGAAATTTCACATATTATTAAAAAAACTATATTCGCATTTAAAGAAAATAACAATAATGTAAAAGTTTTACAATATTTTACTGTAAGTTTTTTTTTTTAAGTACTGCATTGATAAAAAATATGACATATCCAAGTCAGTAAAAAAATCAAATTTATAAAAATTCTACTTAAAATATTTTGTGTAAGTTAATAATGGAAACCGGATCACAATAAAAGAAAACTAAGATGATTCGCCATAACAATAGTTGTAAATCAACATGCATTGGCAAAAATTATGTATTAATGACCTACGTAGTTACCATTTACAAATAATGAAGCTGTATGAGAGGATTCTCCAGCTTTATTTCTAGCCAGGCAGGTATAATTTCCGACATTTTTTTCTGTTATCGATTCTACTGTTAATGAGCTAACTCTTCGTCCAATTTTAGAAACATATACATTTGCTAAATCACTTGTTGATCTACCATTAAAAGACCATGCAAACTCAACCGGAATATCACCAGAAGATATTGTACATTGTATTGATATTGTTTCACCAGCCTCGGGAATATCATCACCAAACATAAAAGGTGTCATTTTAGGAGGGACTTGAAAATTATAATAATTGTCTTAACATCAAAAACATTCATAATTGTCCTTCATTGAATTTTTTTAATGTGAAGTAAATTGATATAAATAATTTAAGAACTGACAAATCATTTTATTTTTAATTTTATTTAATAATTTATTAACATTTTTCTTTTATTTTTTTTCATTTTTTATTTTGTTTTTAGGAAAACTTTCAGCTAAATAATTAGAGAATCCAAAATTTAAATTTGAAGCTATTTTTGTATAATGTTAGCCGCCATTGATTAAACCAGTAGTCTGATTGATTACATATAAGTTTCAAAATTCAAGAACTACATTTTGAACCTTTAATGACAAATATTTTGAATTATTAAGATTTAATTATTCAAATACAACAAATCATAATTGTTACGTAGGACTGTGTTAGATAAATCGAATGTTAACACAGTAATAACACATGTTAATAACACTTGAACAAGTATATTCACAAATCAAAACTATATGAAAATTTATGTACCATCAATATTTATATATGTCGAGTAGGAATTTTCTCCTACTGGATTTGAAGCTATACATGTATACTTTCCAGAGTTGGTAGGTAATACGTTATTAATAGTAAGTATACTAGATGCTGAACCAAGATTTGTTGTGGTCAAACCCAATTCGTATGACAAATCGTCATTATTGAATAGCCAAATCAATTTCAGAGGTCTATCTCCATTTGAGACGTGACAGTTTAATTGTAAACTATCACCAAATCTCACAGGTTCCTCGATAAAAAATGGAACAATATGCGGTAAAACTAAAATTACCAGTTATTTATAAATTAAAATAGTGCCATTGAAGTAATGTACTTAATACAAAGTATAAGTATAAACCTAAACATGAAATTATACAGATACTATCTGTATACATATTTATGTACTAACTGTACTGATACATTTTACTAAGTAGATAATTATTATAATTATAATTATCTATATAATAATTATTTTGTGGAGTGAAAAAATTCTAAACAATAGTTATATTTAAACTTATTAAAAATATGACATGATTATAAATGTTGAGATTTTTTTACTATTGACTTTTCTGTTTATTTATTTAAAAAATAAGCCTATCATATGTGTTAAAAGGAAATGAACTAAATAAATGAATGGATGTATAAAAAGCTATCCCTTTTCCTAAAAACTACATAAATAATAAATGTATATACTTTTATTTCAAGTCATGCTATTCAATCATGATTTTTTATTATTTTAATCACCATTAACAGTTAGTTGGGAAGTGAATGTATCAACACCCGCTAAATTTTTAGCTAAACATGTGTAATTTCCTTGATTTGAAGGACCAACGGAAGGGATTGATAGAAAGTTCGTTGTATCACCAAACATTTGAGTAATAACACCCATGTGAGATGAAAGTTCTTCACCGTAAAAATTCCATGTTATTGACATAGGTTTATCACCTTTAGATACTGAACATGATAGTTGAACTGTCTCACCAGCATTTACAGGATCATTACCAAAGGAAAATGGGATTATCTTAGGCAAAACTGAAAGATTATTTTGTATTAATTTAGATACGTTTTAAATGAAAATATAAATATACAACTTTTAAAATTTTCGAATAAGAATAAAATAAAATTTCAATTAATATATATATTGAAAATATAGATATTTTAACAGAAAGAAAACGCGAAAATAACAGATACTATATTTTAATGTGTTGTGTTAATTGTTTGCAATTATACTATTACCATGCTAGCATTTTTACATTAAGTTTAGTCGTATTTTTATACCATTAACTACAAGTTGAGATGAATATGTATCATATCCTGCATTATTTTTTGCTATACATGTATAATTTCCTTGATTAGAGGAACCAACCGATGGAATGGATAAAAAATTTGTGGAATCTCCCAACATTTGTGTAGTAACACCCATGTTAGATGATAACATTTCACCATAAAAATTCCATGTTATCATCATGGGACGATCTCCCTTTGAAACAGAGCATACAACTTGAACTGATTCACCTGAGTTTACAGGACCATCTCCAAATGAAAAAGGTACAATCTTTGGTAGAACTGAAATATAGCTTTACGGTAAATATTTGAAATTAAATTCCCTTTACAATAATTTGCAATAATAAAAACATATGAATTAAATTAGTAACAAATCACTAAAATATAAAATGTGACATTTAAAAAATTGAATCTGAAAGAATAGTTGAGATAACTTTTATACGTGAAATATTAAAAGTTAATTTTGTTTTCTAATCATTACTTAAGTTATAAATTGTAGATTAGAAGTTTTTAATTAAAATGATTTTTTTTCAATTAATATAGTATTTATATTATATATAATATATAATATATTTATATATTATNACAGATGATATTAATAAAACATTCATTGAGTCACCAAAAGGCATAGTTGTAACGCCCATATTTGATGATAATTCTTCACCATGAATGTTCCAACTAATACGTAAAGGTTTATCACCTTCCGTTACAGTACATGGAACTTGCACGGTATTTCCAGCATTACTTGGAGTGTCACCAAAAGAAAAAGGTAATATTTTTGGTCGTACTACAAAATTATTTTAATTTATTAAAAATTGTTTTATAAATTTCTGAGACTTTTTAATTATACTATAATTGTATTATTTGATATACTTATATTAAAAAAAATAACTATTAATCTTGGTAACTTAACTGAAAGAAAATTTATTTTTTACTGTTACAGTTGGATATTCTTGGATAAGGATAGTTGCAAATGAATCACATAGATAAAAAATTATATATAAGTTAATTGATACCATTGACAAAAAGTTGTGACGTATAAGAATCATATCCTGCAAGATTTTTTGCAACACATGTATAATTTCCACGATTTGAAGGGGCTACAGATGATATAAATAAAGCATTCATTGAATCCCCAACAGCCATAGTACTAACTCCCATGTCTGATGATAATTCTTCTCCATAAAAATTCCAACTTATACGCAAAGGCTTATCGCCTTCTGTTACTGTGCATGCAACTTGTACAGAATTACCAGCACTACTAGGTGTATCGCCAAAACTAAACGGTAATATTTTTGGCCGCACTGTAATAATAGTTGCCATTATTCACTATAAGACGTACGTTTTTCTGCGTTGCCTCTTTAATTTAAAGCACATTCTTAAAAATAACATTGTATAATGATTTTAATACTTAGTAATTCAATAAATACATAAATCTATATTTTTATTTTTATGAATTTCTCCAAACATTTATAATTTAATTTTTGACTGGACGAGGATATATAAATGGAAAAAATCAGCTACAATTTCTAGCAATCTTGATAAACCAATCAAAGTCAAATGCAAAAATCTGCAGCAATGGTTACCATTGACCAAAAGTTGAGCAGTAAATGTTTCATGTCCAGCAACATTTTTCGCAACACAAGTATAATTCCCTTTATTCGAAGGTGAGACAGATGGTATAAATAAAACATTCATGGAATCTCCTACTGGCATTGTACTTATACCCATATTGGAAGATAATTCTTCCCCATAAAAATTCCAACTTATACGCAAAGGTTGGTCCCCTTTTGATACTGTACATCCAACTTGTACTTTATCACCAGCATTAACTGGATTATCTCCAAAAGAAAATGGTAATATTTGTGGACGGACTGTAAAAATGACAAGTCTTAGGATAATTAATATTTTCTCATAGACCTTAATACATTTGTTGCATTTTTTAATTAAAATACTATACAAATTATATTAGGCGAATCTGTAAACTATTACATCATTATTCATTGCATTACAACAACTAATTGAAAGTAATATATTATAAAAAAATACATGGAAAGATTTTGGGATAGGAATGCTTTATA